ACGATATGTCGGTAATAAGGAAATGTATCTTAATGATGTTGTATTTAATTTGGTGTCATTTTTACCATGCATTAACTTTTTATACAGTAGAATAGTTACATCAACATCATTTGAATTTTGATATGTGGGATCGATAGTAACATTGAAGATTTGATTTTTAGCATGGACTATAGGGCCAATAATGCAATTAATGCCATCGTAATGATTTCCATAACGAATTTGATTTCGTAATAAATGAGGTAAGATAACAGTTGCAACCGATGGAGATGGATCGTTGGATTGATCGGCATGATTTTTTTGGCTAACATAGCATGGATAGAATGTCTGTAAGCTATCATCACCATTACGATAGCCTGTTAAATCGAGTTGAACAAAATTAGGATCTTTTTCAATGGTTGTTGAGGATTGTTTAGCATTTTGTAGCATGAGTTGGCGTTCATGATGATTGGATAAGATTGGTAAAGAGCGCTGATGATGATGTTGCTTAGGATCGTTGTCATCATTTTTGCAATTATTGATAGATTGATCTTGTTGCTGTTGGCCATTATTGTTGGTCTGGTAGAAATGTAATTGAACAATTTGAAACTCATACTGTGTTATCAAAGCCAAATAATTTTGGCACAAGACAAGATGGATAATATTAGCGTGTTGTAATTGAATATCCATAGCATGTTGTGGTTCATAAACGACTGCATCACCACCTTGATGGACAGGATGAATCACTTGAACTAAGACAAATACCATGATTGCATGATCCATGGCGATAGCAATATTACCAGTAGTTTGACAACATGATAAATTGACTAAATGCTGATGGCGTACTAATTCAATAGCCATAACACGTTTATCATGATCAAATGGTAATCGATAATACTGATTTTGATCTAATTTGCGTACATGAAGAGATCGACTAATATCATCTGAGATCCAATTGAAATAAATCCTAGCAACATCGGGTAATTTTGATTTAGGACTATAATCATGCTCGATCGTGGCGACATAATTACCAACTTGACAATATTGTAAGATGGTAGCTACAGCTGCAGTTTTAAATGCATAAACAACGTTAATGGTAGAATGATGATGTTGTTGTTGTTGCTGCTGCTGTTGAAGTGGATGAGGATTTTGTAATTCGTAGACATCAATCTGGCACGATTTAATCGATACAAAAATATAATCATAACTACAAGCTACAGCAAATGGCTCAGCTGAGCCACGAATAACTTGATGATGGCTAAATTCATGATAGGATAGCACTTGATTTTTATCTATATCTGACTCCATTTTATCCATCATCTCCAAGGTTATAATTCAATCATTCTTTCTATCGTTCGGCAATACTGTAAACACCAGGTAGTTACCACTAGCTAATTCTACGTGATGATAGAATTGCTGAGGAGCATTTCCTTCTACGCAATTGGCTGGCTATTTGGCTAGAAAAGCCTTCTTGGCTGGCTATTTGGTTAGAAATGCCTTCTTGGTTGGTTATTGGCTAGAAATGCCTTCTTGGCTGGCTATTTGGCTAGCTATTTGACTAGAGATGCCTTCTTGGCTGGCTATTTGGCTAGAAATTGCCTTCTCGGCTGGCTATTTGGCTAGAAAAGCCTTCTTGGCTGGCTATTTGGCTAGAAAAACCTTCTTGGTCGGCTATTTGGCTAGAAATGCCTTCTTGGCTGGCTATTTGGCTAGCTATTTGGCTAGAAATACCTTCTTAGCTGGTTAGTTGGCTAGCTATTTGACTAGAGATGCCTTCTTGGCTGGCTATTTGGCTAGAAAAACCTTCTTGGTTGGCTATTTGGCTAGAAAAATCTTCTTGGTTGGTTATTTGGCTAGAAATGCCTTCTTGACTAGCTATTTGGCTAGAAATGCCTTCTTGGCCGGCTATTTGGCTAGCTATTTGACTAGAGATGCCTTCTTAGCTGGCTATTTGATTAGAGATGCCTTCTTGGCTGGCTATATGGCTAGAAATGCCTTCTTGGTTGGCTATTTGGCTAGAAAAATCTTCTTGGTTGGTTATTTGGCTAGAAATGCCTTCTTGACTAGCTATTTGGCTAGAAATGCCTTCTTGGCTGGCTATTTGGCTAGCTATTTGGCTAGAAATACCTTCTTAGCTGGTTATTTGGCTAGCTATTTGACTAGAGATGCCTTCTTGGCTGGCTATATGGCTAGAAATGCCTTCTTGGCCGGCTATTTGGCTAGAAATACCTTCTTAGCTGGTTATTTGGCTAGCTATTTGACTAGAGATGCCTTCTTGGCTGGCTATATGGCTAGAAATGCCTTCTTGGCCGGCTATTTGGCTAGCTATTTGACTAGAGATGCCTTCTTAGCTGGCTATTTGATTAGAGATGCCTTCTTGGCTGGCTATATGGCTAGAAATGCCTTCTTGGCTGGCTATTTGGCTAGAAAAACCTTCTTGGTTGGCTATTTGGCTAGAAAAATCTTCTTGGTTGGTTATTTGGCTAGAAATGCCTTCTTGACTAGCTATTTGGCTAGGAATGCCTTCTTGGCTGGCTATTTGGCTAGAAATACCTTCTTAGCTGGTTATTTGGCTAGCTATTTGACTAGAGATGCCTTCTTGGCTGGCTATATGGCTAGAAATGCCTTCTTGGCCGGCTATTTGGCTAGCTATTTGACTAGAGATGCCTTCTTAGCTGGCTATTTGATTAGAGATGCCTTCTTGGCTGGCTATATGGCTAGAAAAGCCTTCTTGGCTGGCTATTTGGCTAGAAAAATCTTCTTGGTTGGTTATTTGGCTAGAAATGCCTTCTTGACTAGCTATTTGGCTAGAAATGCCTTCTTGGCTGGCTATTTGGCTAGAAAAACCTTCTTGGTTGGCTATTTGGCTAGAAATGCCTTCTTGGCTGGATGCCACTGCAGTTGCTGTAGTAACAGTAGTAGTGGTCAGTATTCGTGTACGTTTCGAGTACTATAGTGAAACATAGAATACAGTAGTCTTGGATAGAACAGTTGCTTACGATAGGCTAATTACTTATAGGTTATTGACCAGACGTGATATCGTGTTTGGTCACTACTACTGAATATAGACCAGCAATCCGCGTCGACTTTGATGGCTGCTACAAGACACTGCAGTAGTAGTTGGATCCTTAATCGCTCCAATTTTCTTTTTCGATAGCGATAATCAACTGCATTGCAGATGTCAAAACGTTAATGATCTACGTACAGATATGCTACAAAGTTTGCAAAATAGGCTGCATAGAACAAATGAATACGTAAGATCTATGAAGTATGCAGTTGATGTAGCCAACAGGGAATGGTGATGTTAACTGATCACCTGGACATGACCTAAACTCTCGATTACTCTATCCAATGGAAAGCTTACTTTTTTAAGTTACCTTTGCACCACGGTCAATAAGTGATCGTTCAAGCCAGCAGTCCAATAGGGTGACCGATTTTTCCAACTAGAAATGG